GTATAAAATATGATATTATATGTATATATAGTATGATAATATACTATATTATTATATGATATATATATATTTCTATATATATAATATAGTGTATGTAATATCTTATATAGAATATTATATATTATAATGTGTATATAGATATGATATATGATACTATGTACTATATTATAGATATATATATATATATTACTATGTATACTATAATATATATATATATATACTATAGATTGTACATATGTATACGTATATTATATATCGTATAACTATATTCACTATTAAATATATATTATATGTCATATGTATAGTTATATATATAACCTATATATATATAATTATATATATATATAATAATATATCGTATATGCTATATGTATATATTATATATAGTAATATATATTTATAATATTACTATGTATATATATATTATTATATGTTATATGCACTAATACGTATTATATGCTAGTATGTATATTCTATATATATATATCATTATAGATTATATATACTCTATATATATTACTATATATATCATATTAATTATATGTATATGAATCATCTATGTATATGTATGTATATATATATACTATATATATATACTATACTAATTATATTGATATACATATATTATATGTATATGTATATATATTATATGTATATATATATTATATGTATATGTATATATATTATAGTGCTATATATCATTATATGTAATGTATATATATTTTAATATATACTGTGTATAGTGCTATATATTATTATATGTAAATATATATATTATATGTATATGATATATGTACTATATGCTATAGGATATTATATACTCTAAGATATATATATATAATATTATATAATACTTATATATATTATGTATATGTTCTAGTGATAGTATATATGTAAATATATATGTATATATATACTGTGTTATACTATAGTATATGTATATATATAAGGTACTATATATCATGCTATATATATAGATATATATATATAATATAATATATATATTGATATAATATACTAATATATATATATATATATATACTATAATATATTATATAGATATATATATATATATATATATATATATATATTAATAATATATATGTATACTAATATATATATATATATTATATATATATCATGATATATTATATATATACATATATATATATATATATATATATATATATATATATATATATATAATATATATATATATATATATATATATATATATATATATATATATATATATATATATATATACTATATACTATATATATATATATATATATATAATATTATATATTATATATTATATGTATATGTATATAGTATGTATATATGTATATAATATATGTATATATATATATAATATATATATATATATTATCATATATAAAGTATATATATATATATATATGTATATTATTACATACTCTCTCTCATTTCTCTCCGCTCTCTCTCTCGCTCTCTCTTCATCTTCTCATCTCTCTCTACTCCTCTCTCTGTCGCCCCTGTCTCTTTCTTGTTCTCTTTTCTCTATTCCTCTTTTCTCTTTCTCGTACTCTCCTCTGCCTCCCTCTCTCTCTGCATCACTTCCTCCCGGCCTGCTCTGCGCATCCTCTCACTGTGGTGAGGGTGTGGGCGCGTTCCTCTTCCTCTCTCTCGAACCCCAATCTCTTCTCAACTCCGCTCTCTCTCTCTTGGACTCTCGTCGTTCCACCTCTCTCTCTCATCTATCCTGTCTGTCGTGTGTCGGTGTGTCATCACTTTTCCTCCCTCAAACCCATTCCCTCACTCGCCTACGACCTCTTCCCTCTGCTCTCCTTTCCCGTACCCCTCCCTGTGCGTCGCTCGCTCCGTGCGCGCTGCCCCGGCACTCCGCGTCCCTTCCGTGGTGCGGCGGGCGCTCGGGCTGCCCTCTTTCTCTCTTTCTCCTCCTCTACTCTCCCATTCCCTCCCTCTCTCTCTCTCCCTCCCCTCCCTCCCTCTTCTCTCTCCTCCCCTCCCTCCCTCTTCTCTCTCTTCTTCGCCTCGTTTCCTCTCTCTCAACCTCTCTCGGCCGGGTCCTCGTTCCGTGCGGCCTCCTCTCCCCCTTCTCTCTCCCCTCTTCTCTCCCTCTCCTTTTCTTTCTCTGCTCTCAACATCTAGCTCATCACGGGCCTTCATATTAGTAATACTCATTGTCCCGCCCGGGCCGCATGGTACCATCCTCTCTTTGCAATAACCCTGTGGGGCGAAAAAGTGGGAGAGATCCAGAAACATCACCTCGCTACTCCGAATTACTATTCCTCAACTTTCCGTCGCAGCCGGTTCAGGGGTGCGTGGTGTGTGCTGTTAACATCTACCTCTGTCTCTACTTCTCTGCTCTCTACCTCTCTGCTCTCACTACTTGACCATGGTCGTCCTCGGGGCGGGGTCGGGGGCGATCGCTGTGCGTCCGTACAGTGGCTCGAACTAACTTCTGCTAACTTGCAAGAGGTGTCTCTCCTCTGTATAACATCAGTCCTGTCGCTCCTCCCCTGGCTCCCGCTAGCGTGCCCCCGATCTACCTCTCTCACACCCCTCCTCCTCTCCAGCTGCTCTCCTCAGCGCACCACCACCATCAGCATCAGGCTCCACCTCCCCTCGCCGCCAGAGGCCCCTCACCACTCGCTTTCCCCCCGCCCTCTCCCGCACACGCCTCCCCACCGCTACCCCACCTCGTTCGCTCCGCTATTCTTTACGCTTCACTCCCTCCTTCTATCGACCGCTTACTTGCGTGGGCGTGATCCCGTACTCTCTCCACCTCCCGCTACATTGATCCTCTCGCCTTCTCTCTCACATCCCTCCACCTCACTCTCTCTCCTACTCCTCCTTGTCCTTTTTCTTTCTCTCTCTGTCTCTCCATCTCTCCTCTCTCTCTCTCTACTGAGGCTCTCTCGCTTCCCTGCCCCTCCTCTCTCTCGGACTCTTCTCTCTCTCTCTTCTCCTCTCTCTATCCGCTACTCAATAAACACATCATACTCTGCAATACACCCTCATTTATAATTCCTAGTCTCTCTCCTCTGCTTCTCTCTCTTCTTCTCCTCTCTCTCCCTCATAGCGTCTGTGGCTCTCGTGTTCTCTCTCTTCTCTCTCTTCTCGTCTCTCTCTGCTCTCTTCTCTCTTCTCTCTCTCTCGCTTCTCTCTCTCATTCTGCTCTCATCTCTCTCTTCTCCTTCTTCTCTACCCTTCCTGCTCTCTTCTTTTCTCTTCTCTCATCTTTTCATCTCTCTCTCTTTGTCTCTCTCTCTCTTTTGCTCTCTCTCTCTTTTGCTCTTCTCCGCTCTTCTCTCTCTCCTCTCTTCTCACTCTCACTCTTCCTCTTCCGTCTTCTCTTCTTCTCTCTCCTATCTTTTCTCTCTCTCTTATCTTCTCTCCTCTATCTTCTCTCTCTCTCTTTCTCCTCTCTCTCTCTCCTCTCATGGGGGCTCGCCACCTCACCCCCCGGCGTGTGGGGGGGGTCTCGTGGCTGCGGTGGCTCTCTTCCCTTCTCTACTCTCTCCTTCTCTCTCTCTCTCTCCCTCTCTTCTCTCTCGTTCGTTCGTGCGTCTCTCGGTGGCGGTGTCGACCCCTACTCACTCTCTCTCTCTCCACTCTTTCACCACCTCACTCTCTACTCACTCTCCTCTCGGCTTCTCTCTCTTCTCCTGCTCCTCTCTCCCTCTCTCTCTCTCGTCTCTGCTCTCTCTCTCCTCTCCGTCCTCTCTCTCTCCTCTCTCTCTCTCTCTCTCTCTCTCCATCTCTCTCTCTCTGCTCTCTCTCTCTCTCTCTCTTCTCCTTCTCTTCTCTTCTCTTCTCTCTCTCCTCTCTTCTCTCTCCCTCTGCTTCTCTTCTCCTCTCTCTTCTCTCGTCGCTACGTCCACTGACTCTTGATGCTGTCTTTCTCTCTCTCTTTCTCTCTTCTCTCGTTCTCTCTCTCTCTTCTTCTCTCTCTTCTCCTTCTCTCTCCTCTCTCTCCCTTCTCTCTCTCTCTCTTCTCTCTCTCTCTCTCTCTCTCTCTCTCTCTCTCTCTTCCCTCTCCCTCTCATCCCCTCTCTTCTCCTTCTCTTTTTGTTCTCTTCTCCTCTCTCTTCGTCTCTCGTTCTCTCTCTGTCTCTCTCTCTCTCTCCTCTCTCTCTCTCTCTCTCTCTCTCTCTCTCTCTCTCTCTTCTCTCTCTCTCTCTCTCTCTCTCTCTCCTCTCTCTCTCTCTCTCTCTCTCTCTCTCTCTCTTCTCTGTTCCTCTCTCTTCTCTCTCTCTCTCTCTCTCTCCCTCTCTCTCTCTCTCTCTCTCTCTCTCTCCTCTTCTCTCTCTCTCTCTCTCTCTCTCTCTCTCTCTCTCTCTCTCTCTCTCTCTCTCTCTCTCTCTCTCTCTCTCTCTCTCTTCTCTCTCTCTTTCTCTCTCTCTCTCTCTCTCTCTCTCTCTCTCTCTTCTCTCTCTCTCTCTCTCTCTCTCTCTCTCTCTCTTCTCTCTCTCTCTTCTCTCTCTCTCTCTCTCTCTCTCTCTCTCTCTCTCTCTCTCTCTCTCTCTCTCTCTCTCTCTCTCTCTCTCTCTCTCTCTCTCTCTCTCTCTCTCTCTCTCTCTCTCTCTCTCTCTCTCTCCTCTCTCTCTCTCTCTCTCTCTCTCTCTCTCTCTCTCTCTCTCTCTCTCTCTCTCTCTCTCTCTCTCTCTCTCTCTCTCTCTCTCTCTCTCTCTTAGTTTTGATATTTTAAATGTCAATATAACTTTGTTTTAAGAAAAAGGTTTCGCATGGGTACGGGAGTTCGGATAATAAATAGAAATGTGTTATATATCTAATTTATCATGAACAACGAAAGAACGTCTTACCAAAACCAGAACTTGTATACATTATGCGTAGGGTCAAGTGGATGTTTAAATGGGGCTTCACAATCAACATAAATAATTTCCCCTTTAATTTTCAAGTGTACATTCAGCTCTGTGATTTTCTTCCCCACGAAGACGTAAGAAAGAATTAAGAGCGTTGTCTTCCTACAGGAGGCGCAGGTGCGGAGGCGACGCAGGGCTGCGCGTGAGGGTAGTGGATAGAGTGATGGGCCAAGGTCATACCCACCTGGAGGACGAGTGCACGGACAGTGAGGAGGAGAAGTTCTATAATAGTGAGTTGGAGGACAGTCAGAGCGAGTGCGAGGAGGACGCATGCGATAAACGCGTCACTATGGAGGCTCGGGCGCGGCAGGCCACAGCGGCAAGGCTTCGCTCGGTTTGGAATGAAGCCAAAAAGAATTCGAGTGACTCCGCATCGGAGTACGAGGAGGCAGAGGAGGACCGCGGGCTGCAGCCCCCCCTGGCGGAGCGCTCGAGCCCCCTCGGAGCGTCTCACAGCGACGGAAACACCAGCTTTCGGGGCCCGGAGCTGACGGACGCCGAGGACGAGCAGGGCTGCACGGAGGCCTGTCGCTATCAGCAGGCGTACTTCTTCGGTTCCAATACCTCGCTGGATTCCAGCATCAGCCAGCCCTCCTGTGCCAGCCTGGACTCGAGACTGGCACAGATTTCAGGCAGCAGCAACACCTACCACAGTAGAGCACTGCCACGGAACTTCTTCCTGGACTTAGAGAGGGAGGGGCGTGGGTGTGCTTCTGCCTCAGCCACGCCCCTCACGTCGCCGCAGTCGCCCTCGGAAACCAGACGCCGCTGGGACAAGAGTGTGTGGCCAGAGGTGGAGAAAGGACTTCGCAGGAACCAGAGCGTCCCGGACATTGATCCTTCCAGATCGGAAGACCGACGGCATAGAGTGAGAGGACGGTCACCCAGCCCCAAGCGCTACACCTTTGACGAGCGGGAGAAGCGCCAGAAGATCATTGATGCCGTGACCCGACGCCTCTACCCCGGCAGTGGCCCCGGCTTCGGTCGCCGCAATAAAAAGGTGTCAGAGAAGCCTCAGGTTTTAGGAGAGAGAGAATGCAGGTGTCGTAAAAAGCCAGGGAGTGACGGAGATATATCTGCCTCCAAAAATTCAGTTACCACAAGTTCCTGTGAATTACTAATTCCTAAAATCCCTAGAAAGATTTCATTACCTACACCTGTCACTCCCCCAGCATGGAGGCGGTCATCCCTGGAAAGTCCTCCTGGTAGTTTCTTGCCAATACCTGTGCGTGACCATTCTCAGGCTGAAAGAACATCTACCAGCCCACAGAAGGAGAGTGCTTCCACCACGCTGACTCGCTCGTCGCGCATCACAAGGCGTGAGGTCAAGACAGTTACAACAACTGTTACTAAAACACTAAATACAATAGAAAGAAAAATTATGACTAATGTGCAGCAAGATATGACCAAACCAGATATGCAAGACCAAGCTGTAGACTGTGATCTTGTTGACAGAGACAGCTGTGAGAAAGTGAGTTGTGAGAGTAAAGGTGCACAGGCTGATATGCAGGTTTTGGAAACTAGTGAAGACCAGGAAGAAAATGATGACAGTCAGAGTCCGAAGAAGTGTGTCCATCCTGACCCAGACTTACTGACCGACGTAAATGAGAATGATTCTGCTGAGAAAGAAGGAAGGCGTAAGATCCCACTGACTCCTGCCTTGCACCAACTGCGGCAGGCTCTTGCTTCCCTGAATGATCCTGAGAGGTTCTCTGATGATAGCCTTGAACTTGGGAATTTGGATGCAGATTCACCATCACCAGCCTCGAGATTTAGTCCACGTGCGCCTGAAGAAGATGAGATATCACTAGGAGATATAAGCAAAGACTCCTTAGAAGATAGTGTAAATATTGATGTTGAATCTAGAAAATTACATGCTGCTCATGATCCCACAGTTGTACAAGAGATAACAGCTTGTGATATAGTAAGTGCCATGCCAGGACCTCGAATTCCAAAACTTAGTAAGAAACATGATTCTTTCATCCAGTCTTTCTTTCGATCCGTTAGTGCCTCAGATATGAAAGATTCTTTTGAGTTAGAAGAGGAGTCCCTCTCTCTGACTGATGACAACAGCGAGACATTATGTTTGTCTCCTAGTTCAGCACAAACATTGGCTTCCAAACCTAGTGTACCTGTTAAACCTAATTCTGTGACACCTCCTCCAAGCTCATCGTCCTCAAGGAATACAAGGAGGTGGACTCGAGAAAGAGCAGAAAAACGATTTGTTGAGTCCACCAGCTCTGAAGAAAGTGATGTTGATTCACGTCAACGTCCAAGGTTTAGAAAAAGAAGAGTTAGAAGGATGTCGCTTCCACTACCCTCCGTGCCAACAATGGACCTGTGTGAAGATCAGGACAACTCTGACTGCACAGACGGTGCAGCTTTAAAACTATCCTCCCACGAGACAGTAGATAGTGCTGTGTGTGCTAGTGTTAAGGATATTAATGCTAATAAAATGTTAACTAGAACTCAAAGTAAAGAGCTTTTGGATAGAAATAGAAGATATACTAGTGAATCTGTAGGTGAATGTGGTGTTGAAGATGTAAGTGTGGATATTGCCTCAACTGAGCGAAAGCAAAAGTTATTACAGTTCAAACAGAAATACAAGAATGAGTCTTCACAACCGTCCAATCAAGATTCTTCTGTGGTAGAATCCATGTCTCCTGAATACTATTCGCCTCACCTTCAGGACCCAGTCATCTCAGTACCCAGCCAGGCAGGAAGCAACCAGCAGTTCAGTGAATCAGACTCATTTTCAGATAGGGATGTCGAGACTCAGACGCTCCTAAAGGAGTCTGCAAGGAAGTTACTACGAACAGTAAGTAAAGAAGGCCCCTTGTCAGAAGCATCTCAAGATGCAGTAGCAGAACTACTAAAGGCTTCTTCCAAACGTCTAGCTAAGTATGCTCTCAGCATGCCAGAAGACGGCTCAGAGATAGGGAGTGCTTCACTTTCTCGGTGTGAGAGTGTTGCCACTCAAGACGAAGACTATGACACTGCCAAAGGAGAAGACAGCTGGTTAGAAAGTTCAAGTGAGTTCCAGAGTGCCTTGAAGAAGAATGGAGTGTCTGGCTCTCATTCTTACACTAGCAATACAACAACTCCAGCAAGGGAGTTGCTGAATAAAGATGAAAAGAAACAATCCTTGGAAGGACAGGGTAATCTACTTGATGTTGTGCAGAGTAGTAGTGGAGGGGATGTCTCTCCTCGTGCTTTTGCAGCTGATGGTACTGACTACAGCACCACAGCAACTACACCATTGGCATCCTCAGCTAGTGAAGGTTTTTCTACTGAAGGTTCATGGGAGGACCTTGACATTCTCGATCCTCATAGTAAAGGGGATGTCAACCTTTCTGAGAAACAATATCAAGTCATAGCAGCAGAATTCACACCTCGCACTGCGCGCAGACTGTTGTACACAATCATTGAATGCAGTGAAAGTAGTCGCTCAGAAAGTGTCCCATCTGAACCAGATATTATTCCATCTGACTGGCAAGAGACAATGAGTGAGACGGAAGATTACAATATGTCTGCTTGTATGAGCCCAGAGATTAGTGAAGACCTTTTAAGTTCTTCAGATGATACCATGCTTGACACAGTACGCCGCAATGTTGAGGATCCACAGGATTCACTCTCTTGCATCTCAGATGATATTCTAGGGGACTCTAAAGCCCACACTGCCGAAGGATACCCAGCTGAAAGCTTCCAGGAACTTCCTTGGAATGCAGCTGGGTCTCTGGAACTCCTTACAAGTCTTCCAATAACTCCTGATTGTCTTGATGAAGAAGATAATCCATGGGAAACTGACACAAAAGGTATGGACCAGAATTTTCAAGATGAAAGTAATCAGGAGACATGTACCACTTTAGACAGTGGAATGGTATGTACTAAAAGTTCTAATATTATTTCTGTTAGTCAGTACAGTCAGAATCAAGAAGATATGCTACCTGAATTTGTGCCTTATTTAGATTTATCAGAGGTAGCAGGATCACCTATTAAAGGTCACGTGGTTAACAAGGAAAGCATTCTAGTCTCTTCACAAGATGAAGTTACTGCCTTAGAAAGACATGAAGATGTTACTAATGCAAATTTTAATGTCACTGCAGAAGACAAAACAATGCAGGACAAAATGGGTAAATTACATTCTGATACTTCTAGTGCCTTTGAAAATCGTAGAACTTTGCTAGATACTAGCTTGGGTTTAAGCAGCAAAATGCCAAAGTATACCAGTAAAGGAGGAAATTCAAAACCAGGGGCTTTGCATCAGGAACATCTTGAAATTGGTGATAGTCCTGATACAGAGATTCGGCAATTTACACAAGACAGTGAATCTTACTTGCATACTGTTGCCCAAACAAACAATACAACCAAAGAAATGAATATTGGTTCTCAGGCTGTATCTTGTTCAGTGCCAAGACTGACGACTGCTGTAGCTGTAGAATTTCCATGGCAGAAGATTGATGATGTTAGTCATTCCTCTCACCCAGATGACTACTTGGTACCTGTTATGACTTCTGGCTTGAAGGCTGAGTCTTCTCAAGATTCTGACATGGAATTTGATAGCTTAGAGCAGATTCAAGAGACTTATACTGATGTCCAACATCCTCAATGCACATCAGACATACCCCAAAGCTATGTATTGGAAGGCGACAACACAGAAGCTGCAAGTTCTGTGTTCAACAAAAGCACAAGTTCGGCAGCAGAAGCCCAAAGACTAATTTCGCCTTTAACTCTACAAAATCCCTTGATGGGCCCAAGTAATTATGAAGCAGCAAGTTCAATAGAAAGCCAAATGCCAATTAATGTAATGGAGATAAAGCCAGTGACTATGGGAAGTGAAGGTATGGAATCAAGCTACTTGAAGCAGATGCCACCTTTAACTCCACAGAATTCTGTGGTAGAAGTCGGCATATCAGAAGCAAGCTCATTAATGCTTAGGAACCAAAGTGAAAAATCAGATTGTTCAAATTTTGAAGCAACTTTGGTTCCACAAAATTCCTTGATAGGTGAAACAGCAAGCACTTTGACACCGAAAGATAAAGATGTTGAAGCTAGCTGCCAACATTTAAATCTGCAGACAGCTTCAGAATCTACTGAAGTTGCTCAATCAGGACTAGATCCAATGGTCACAGACCAATCCAGTGAAAAAGAAATTAAACAAGCACCACCCCTGACGCCACAGAACTCAGTGATGGAGGTTAGTATATCAGAGGCAAGTTCACTGCTAACAGAAGAAAGATTAAAGTCAAGAACTATACAAATTTCACCTTTAACACCACAAAACTCCATGGTAGACGTTAGCATATCAGAAGCAGCAAGCTATGTGGTACAAGATGCAGAATGTATGTCAGAAGAGTTGTTACCATTAGCACATAACGATATTGCAGAAGTTGATATATTAGAAGCAAACACAAAAATGCTAAAAAATGAAAGATTAAAATCAGTTATGCAGGTTTCACCTCTAACACCACAACATTCTATGGTCGATGTTAGCATATCAGAAGCAGCAACATCAGTGATGCTTAAAAATTATGAATACATGCAAAGTCAGAATGCTGCAGCCTCTCCCACAGTTATGCCAGAAGCAAATTCTAGAACATTGGCATCTGATACTGCTACGTCAGAAGGCTTTCACGAAGTACAGCCACAAATGCCACAGAATTCTTTTGTTGGTGTTAGTATAAAAGAGGCAGTAACTTCTGTAATGCTCGAAGGTAAAGAACATGCACTCGACTTGAACACACAGTCCTTGCCTAAAGTCAGGTCAAAGGCAGATTCAATGTTAAGGAAATCTGATACTGTTAAATCAAGAACTTTCCATGAGATACCGCCATTGACACCACAGAATTCAATGGTGGAAGTAAGCACATCAGAAGCGAGTTCAGTACTATTAGAAAGGGAGAGCATAAAACTAAGATCCGTTAAAGTATGTCCTCTGACACCGCAGAACTCTATGATAGACATCAGTATTACAGAAGCAGCATGTTCAGTCTTGGAAAATGCAAAATCTGCCCTTGAACAACCAATTTCATCAGTAGATGAGGAGACTACAGTAGATACTATTGTTGCAGCAAACAAGATTTTACTTGATGATATTAATGGCAAATCTACAAAGAAAATGATACCATTCGTAATACCAGAGAACTCTACGAGTTCAGAGGCATTTGGAAAGAGTAGCTTGGAGAGAGATTGTTCTGAGGAAATGACACTGCTATCTGCACAGTTTTCTGTTATAGAAGATAAATTTACTGAGGAAGGTTCAGTGATACCTGAAGAAGTGAAAGAAATAAAACCTTTCAGTCAAATGAAAGCTCTGACACCACAGAATTCTTTCGTGGAAGTTAGTATATCAGAAGCAAGTTCTTTGGCACTTGAAAATGTCAGATTAACTTCCATAACCCCAAAACAAGCAACACTTTTATCTCCAGAGAGTTCCATTTTGGAAGACAGTTTTGGTGAGGCAGCATTATTAGGGCCAGAGAAAGTAGAACAAATCAGAATTTTAAATCGGTCAAAGGCTTTAACACCACAGAACTCCTTAGTGGAAGTTAGCATATCCGAGGCAAGTTCTCTAGCAAATGTCAGCTTAAATTCTAGATCCCCTAAATCAGTAACTCTGTTATCAGCAGAGAGTTCCGTTTTGGAAGACAGTTTAGCAGAAGCAGGGTCAGTAGTACCAGAAGAAGAGGCAAAAATCATTAAAAAATTAAACCAATCAAAGACTTTAACACCACAGAACTCTTTTATGGAGGTTAGTATATCAGAAGCGAGTTCTCTAGCAAATGCCATCTTAAATTTTGGAACCTCTAAACCAACAACTCTGTTATCTGCACAGAGTTCTGTTTTGGAAGACAGTTTCATTGAAACAGGGCCATTTATGCCAGAAAAAGATGTACAAGAAGTCAAAACTTTCGATCAGGCAAAGGCGCTCACGCCACAGAACTCTTTAAAAGAAGTTAGTATATCAGAAGCAAGTTCTCTGGCACTGGAAAATGTCAGTTTAGCTTCTAGAACCTCTAAACATGGGACCCTGTTATCTGCAGAGACTTCCATTTTGGAAGACAGTTTTGCTGAGGCTGCAGCATCATTAGTGCCAGAAAAAGAGGAAAAAGAAATAATTTTTTTCAGTCAATCAAAGGCATTAACACCACAGAACTCCTTGGTGGAGGTTAGTATATCAGAGGCAAGTTCTCTAGCAAATAGCTTAAATTCTAGAACCCCTAAATCAGCAACTCTGTTGTCAGCACAGAGTTCCATTCTAGAAGACAATTTTGCAGAAGCGGGAGCAGTAATATCAGAAGATGCAAAGGAGATAAGAATTTTCAACCAAACCAAGGCTCTAACACCACAGAACTCCTTATTGGAGGTTAGTATATCAGAAGCAAGTTCATTGGCACTCCAAGATGCCAATTCGAAACCTAGGACTTGTAGGCAGGTGTCACCACTCACACCTCAGAATTCCATGGTTGATGTCAGCATATCAGAAGCAAGTACTTTGGCATCAGAAAGAAATGAAGACATGTATACAAATTTAAATCGGATTCCCCCTCTAACTCCACAGAACTCTATGGCAGATATTAGTGTAGGGGAAGCAGCTTCAGTTATAGTGGGAAACGTTCAAGGAAGATCCAAATTGAGGCACTTACCTCCTCTAACACCACAGAACACAGTAGCAGAAATTTCTCTATCAGAAGCAAGCTCTTTAATACTGGCAACTGAGGGTACTAATAATAGTTCATTACAAGAATTTAGTACAGAAGAACTACCTGTAGTATCGCTTGATGCTGATAGAGCCAAGTCAAAAAGTCGAAAGTTCTTAACCCCTCTAACTCCGCAAAACTCCGTTTTAGAAGTTAGCATATCAGAAGCAAGTACAATAGCCTTGGAAGATGAAGCTCTTAAACCAAGTTTGAAGCAAGTATTGCCTCTGAAATTATCAGAAGGGAAGGTGATGTCACTTGAAATGGAAAGTGTAAGATCAATGAGTTCTAAGGAAATCCCACCTCTGACACCACAAAATTCTGTAATGGAAGTTAGTATATATGAGGCAGTAAGTTCAATTGCAGATTCTTGTCTTGGTTCTGAATTGCCAGTGACGTTATTACAAGAAAGCACGGAAGTGGAAGGTACATTGGAGGAAACACACAATATTGAGAGAGACCTAGAAAAGGTATTGCTTGCTCAACTGAAAGAAGAGAGTTCTGAAGATGCATGTTTCTCAAGTTCAGTGAAACCTGCTGTTAAATCAGTAACACAGATTGTTACAAGTGATCATTCATTAGAAGTTGCTTTTCCACTGCCCCAGGATTTGGAAGTAGATGTGTATCAGGAAACCACCTCATTTCTACCACAAAGGTCACAAAGGTTGGTAACACCTTTAACACCTCAAAATTCAGTGGCAGATTATGAAACTTCCCAAGAGATGGCAAAGGTACTACAACCTTCAGCTTTAGTAGCAAGTACGTCTTTGGACCCCAGATCCCTTGTTTCTCAGCTGGGTAAAGTAGGTGTGCCACTGCATTCAACAGTAGCACCAATACCAGAAGACAGACTGCATGATATATTGCAGGAAGGGACTGGAGCAGTAATGCCACAAATGGCTGCAGAGGAATTTCAGGCACTGACTCATGTCGCACAGATGCCTGTAGAGGGAGCTAGTAGTATCATTCCAGCAACAACTCCTCTGACACAAAAAACAAATACCTTAAGACCAGAAATAACTGATACTTGCAGTGCCCAAGCTGATCATCAAACACCACATGTGGCATTTGGTTACCAAGTTTTTGAATCCCAGACAGACCAACTGACTTTACCACAAGAGAGTACTGAAGAATCACAGACACTACATCCAAGGACATCAACAGTGGTAAAGAGTGTTGAAGGAGCGACGTCTTGCACACCACAGGAATTCAGTGAGGACCAAATTCATCCCCTACAACAGATGGTCATCAGAAGTAACCAAGTTGTAAACTTAGCTGTGACTTCGCAGTTAGGCACGCATTTTGATACAGAAATTCCATTTTCACCTGAGGTAATAGAGAGAGACCAAAAGGTGATTCATTCAACTAAATCAGAATTAATCAGTGAAGAATATGCCAGAGGCCAGACACAATTTAACCCAGAAGAATTGCATTTGATGTGTCAACTACCACCACATTCGACCACCAATGTTCAGGCAATGATTCAGAAACCCGAGGTAGTTATGAAAAGAGCCACCACCACTATTTCAGGCGTTGCATTTGAAACACAACAAATACCAATGGAAGAAACTAGAGTTGTGTCAATAGTGAATCAAAGTAGACTGCAAAGATCATTTGCTTTAGGAAAAGTAAGTTCTGAGTCAGATATGGAGGAGTCATGTTCAGTGATGACAAGATTACCTTACACAGTAGGAAAAGTGCAAGCAGTGACTTCTCAAGTGCCCCACAATGCCATCGAAGAAAATAGAAGTACACAAGCATTGGGATATGAAACTCCCTTAATTTCAAAAGCAGTGACTTCAGAGCTAGAGTCGCAAAGTGACAATGTCAGTCCATTGCCATTCCATGCAACAACTTCAAAATTACAGACAGAAGTGTCATATTCAGTTATTCCACTTGCACCTCAAACAAGTAGTACTAAGGTATGGGCTTCTACTATTGATCAGACTCAGCCCTTAACCGTGGAAGAAGCAATGACTCCTAAGGCACTGGAAGTGGCTATGGAGGAAGCAAGTTATCTCCAGGAAGTGACTGACAGTACACCAAAATTGGTTAAAGAGGGCAGTGGTCAGGCAGCCACTTTAAATACACCGAATGTGGCTGTAGAAAGAGAAGCCAGTGAAAAGGCAGGGATTCTCCAAACATCACAAATGTCCGAAGTTGCTATCCCTACAATATCTCAGTTGGCCATAGGGGAAGTGATGAGTCTCCAGACAATGCCTCATCAAGCTTTACCCTTGACTGTGGAAGAAGATCGTAGTGTCCAAGTAGTACCTCTTACAACACCACCTTTGGCCATTGAAAAATCTGGCAATGTTCAGTTAATTCCTCAATCACAGCACATGGCCTTGGAAGAAAATAGGAGGGAACATGAAGTAATTTTTCATCCTGTGACTTCAACACTGTCAGTGGAAGAGTCACCTCCCGTAACTCCATTGACACCAGAAATAGCAACTGGCGTGCTGGTAACTTCACATGAATTTCCAGTGGAAGGGTCAAGCAGTGATTGGACAATGACATATCAAACAGCAGAAGTAAGCAGTGACCAGGCCCTGCCTCATAAAACACCTGTGATAGTTATGGGGAAAGCTAGAAGTGCCCAAGAAACAGCTCAGATTAATGTGGATGGAACAGCTCATGCCCAGGCATCAATTCAGCAAATGTCTCAGATGGCATTAGAGGGTGTCGTTGTCCAGACACCAACCCATCAAGCAGAAACTTCGAGTCTAGATTTGGAGGAATCACATGCAGTGATACCACTGTTGCCTCAGAAAACCACCACAGTGAGAGCAGTGACTCATCAGACATCACATATTAGTGAGCAAGGAATTTTGCAATCACCACAGGTGGCCACTGAAACTTGCCCTGACCAAACAAAGACACTTCAAGCACCACAGGTAGCTGTTGAAACTAGCATTGTCCCAACAGGGACACACACAGCACCACAAGTGGCTAAGGAAACTATTAGTGGCCAAACAGCTATTGTTCAGGAACCAATATTGGCTTTGGAAACTAGCATTGACCAGACTGTGATTCATCAAACACCTCAGATGACCGTAGAAAGTGGCTATGGCCAGTCGTTACGTACACCAGTGGAAGCTAGCAATTGTCAGGCAGTGACATCACAAGTTAGTAGAGCTGTGGCCAAGACTCTTCAGACACCTCAATCGGCTGTGGAAACTAATTTTGGTGAGGCAGTGATATCGCCGAACATGGGGATTAACGTTCGAACTGTGGATATGGCGAAGACGGAAGGAAAGAGTGTCCAGGAACTGAAATATCTGGATTCTCATTCAGTTATGGAAGAAGCTGGCAGTGCTCAGACGATGCCTCAAGTAGCTAAGGAAAGAATCGACAGTGCCCAGGCAGTGAATCAAACTTCTGAGATGGTCATGGAAAAAACAAGAACCCTGGCACAACAGGCAGCAATTTCACATATAGGTTTGGAAGATAGACATGCAGTGATTCCACTACTGCCAGAGGAAATGAGCCGCATGCCAGTAGTGATTCATAAGATGCCACATGTAGTCAACGAGGAAATGAGCAGTGCCCAAGCCATGGCTAGCAGTGTTCAGGCAGTGACTCCCCAAACACTTCAGATGGGAGAATCTACCAGTGCCCAGCCAGCATTTGTTCAGACGTCCCAGATGATCACGCCAGAAACCAGTAGGGCCCAGGCAGTGCTTCAACAAGCAGTGACTTCAGACATAGATTTGAAGGAAATGCATTTTGTGAAGCCGCTATTACCTCAGGACACTGACAGTTTGAGAGCAGTGATGCGTCAGACATCACAGGTGACCGAAGAAGGAACGAGCAGTGCCCATGCAGTGATCCAACAAGCTGTATCTTCCGAGCTAGATTTAGAAGACTCTCATACAGTACTTTCACTGTTACCACAGGACACCATCACTGCGAGAACAGTGGTTCATCAGGCAGCGCAGAAGGCCAAAGAAGGAATGGCCAGTGCCCAGATAATGTTTGTGACACCTCAGATGCCCTTGGGGGAGGTCAGCAGTACCCGGGCAGTGACTCAGCAAGCAGCATCTTCAAAGCTACATTTAGACGAAACACATTCAGTGATTCCATTAGTGCCACAGGACACCGGCAATGTGAGAGCAGTGATTCATCAGACAACACACATGACCAAAGAAGGAAATGACAGTATCCAGGCAGTGAGTGCTCAGGCTACACAGATGGCCATGGGAGAAGATGGCAGTGCCCAAGTATTGGCTCTTCAAACATCACAGATAGCCACGGCAAGGGCTGACAGTGCCCAGGCAGTGACTGTTCAAATACCTCAGATAGCTGCAGTGGGAACCAGCAGTGTTCAGCCGGGGACTGCCCATATGACACGGATGGCCATGAAAGAAACTTGCAGTGCCCAATTAGTGACTCATCAAACACCGCAGATGACCATGGGAGAGGCTGGCAGTGTTCAGACAGTGACTGCACAGACACCACAGATGGCCATGGACGGAACTAGCGGTGCCCAAGTGACTGGCCAAAGAACACAGGCGGGCGTGGATAGGGTTAGCAGTGCTCACGCAGTGACTATTCACACTCCACAATTAGCCATGGAAGGTGCTAGCAGTGCCCAGGCAGTGTCTCAGGTGGCCTTGGAAGAGGTTGGCAGTGCTCAGGCCATCCGACAAGCTGTGTCTTCACAGCTAGGTTTGTTGGAAACAGATTCAGTGATTCCGCTGTTACCCCAGGACGCCGACACTTTTAAAGCTGTGATTTGTCAGACACCGCAGGTGGCTACAGAAGGAATGGACAGTACTCAAACAGTGATTGGTCAGACACCACAGATGACCTTGGGAGGCGCAAGCAGTACCCAAGCAGTGACAGTTCATCAGATGGCTATGGGAAAGGCTGGTAGTGCCCAAGCAGTGACTATTCAGGCGCCACAGATTGCCATGGAAGGAATTTTAAGTGCCCAAGCAGTGACAAATGATCAGATCGCCCAGGCAATGAATGTTCACACACGTCAAATACCCGTGAGAGAAGCTAGCAGTACCCAGGCAGAGAATCTTCATACACCTCAGATGGCCTTGAGAGAGGCTAGCAGTGCAGAGACAGTGACTGCTCAGATAACTCAGATGGCCATGGGGGAGGCTAGCAGTGCCCAAGCATTGGTTCTTCAGACACCTCAGATGGTCATGGGAAAAACTAGCAGTGCCCAGGCAGTGATTCTCGAGACACCCAAGGCAGTCATCCAACAAGCAGTGTCTTCACAGCAAAGTTTGGAAGAAATTCATTTTCTAAGTCCACTGTTACCACAAGACACCAACAGTGTGAGGACAGTGATTCGGCAGACTCCACAGACGGAAAAAGAAGGAACAAGCAGTGCTCAAACAGTGATCCAGCAAGCAGTGACTTCACAGCTTTGTTTGGATGAAACTCATGCACTGGCCAAGGAAGGAATGGGCAGTACACAAACAGTGATTGTTCAAACACCACAAATGGTCATCGGAGAAGCTTGCAGTGACCAGACAGTGACTCTTGAGGCATACCAATTGGCCACAGAATCAGTTATCAATACTCAGACGACACCCATTCGGAGACTTGAAATAGCCAAAGAAGAATCTAGCAGTGCCCAAGCAGTGACTGTTCTGACACCTCAGATGTCCACGATAGTAACTAGCAGTGAACAAGCAGTGATTAATCAAATACCTCAGATGCCCATGATACCAACTAGCAGTGAACAAGCAGTGATTGATCAAACACATCAGATGTCGATGATACCAACTAGCAGTGAACAAGTAATAACTGATCAGAAACTTCAGACGACTGTGATTGTTCCCCGTAGTGCTGGGGCAGTGATCCAATATGCAGTGACTTCAAGATCAGATTTAGATGAATCGCAGTCAGTGATTTCACTGTTGCCACAAGACAGCAATTTCAGAGCAGTGATTCATCAGACACCACAGGAAGGAGCTATCAGGCACCAAGCAGTGACACTTCAAACACCGCAGATGACCAAGGGAAAGACTAGCAGTGACCAGACGGGCAGTGTCCGGCCAGTGATTGGTTCAGTATCTCAGGTGGCCATGGATGAGGAAACCGTGGGAGGGGTTAGCAGTGCCCACGCAATGACTGTTCAAACACCACAGATGGCATTAGAAACTGGCAGTGCTCAGGCAGTGAGTCTTGAGACACCTCAGATGACTTTTGGAGATTGCAGTGATCAGGCAGTGACTGTCCAAACACCACAGATGGCATAAAGCTGGCAGTGCCAGGCAGTCATCCGACGACTGTGTCTTCGAAGCTGAAGAATCGCATTCAGTGCTTTCAGCAGGAAATAGGCAGTGCTCAGGCAGTGAATGTTCAGGTAGATGACTGATGTTCAGTGTAGGATGTCTGTGGGATGGCATTAGAAACTGCAGTGCTCAGGCAGTGAGTCTTGAGACACCTCAGATGACTTTTGGAGATTGCAGTGATCAGGCAGTGACTGTCCAAACACCACAGATAGGCATAGAAGCTGGCAGTGCCCAGGCAGTCATCCGACGACCTGTGTCTTCGAAGCTGGCTTGGGAAGAATCGCATTCAGTGCTTTCATTTTCACCGCAGGAAATAGGCAGTGCTCAGGCAGTGAATGTTCAGACACCTCAAATGGGAGAGGCTAGCTGTGCCCAAGCAGTGACACAGCAAGCACTTCCGATGGCCATGGCAAAAACTAGCAGTGCACAGGCAGTTCCTGGGCAGATACCACAGATGGCCAAGGAAGAGGCTAGCAGTGCTCAGGCCATCATCCAAGGAGCAGTGAACCCACAGCTGGCTTTGGAGGAAACACATTCAGTGATTCAGTCATTACCTCAAGACACCAACATTGTGAGAGTTGTGAGTCAAGAGATGATACAGGAGGCAAAAACAGTGAATATTCATACACCTCAGATGTCTATAGAAGCTGGCAGTGCCCAGGCAGTGAACCTTCAAACACTTCAGACGACCATTAGAGAGGCAAGCAGTGGCCAAGCGTTGACACCTCAGATGGCCACGAGAGAGGCTAGCAGTGGCCAAGCAGTGACTCTTCAGACAGCTGAGATGGCCACGAGAGAGGCTAGCAGTGGCCAAGCAGTGAATCTTCAGACGGCTGAGATGGCCACGAGAGAGGCTAGCAGTGGCCAAGTAGTGACACCTCAGATGGCCACGAAAGAGGCTAGCAGTGACCAAGCAGTGACTCTTCAGACAGCTGAGATGGCCACGAGAGAGGCTAGCAGTGGCCAAGCAGTGACTCTTCAGACAGCTGAGATGGCCATGAGAGAGGCTAGCAGTGGCCAAGTAGTGACACCTCAGATGGCCATGAGAGAAGCTAGCAGTGGCCAAGCAGTGACACCTCAGATGACCATGAGGGAGGCTAGCAGTGGCCAAGCAGTGACTCTTCAGACAGCTGAGATGGCCACGAGAGAGGCTAGCAGTTGCCAAGCAGTGACATCTCAGATGGCCACGAGAGAGGCTAACAGTGGCCAGGCAGTGACACCTCAGATGGCCACGAGAGAGGCTAGCAGTGGCCAAGCAGTGACTCTTCAGACAGCTGAGATGGCCATGAGAGAGGCTAGCAGTGGCCAAGTAGTGACCCCTCAGATGGCCACAAGAGAGGCTAGCAGTGGCCAGGCAGTGACACCTCAGATGGTCACGAGAGAGGCTAGCAGTGGCCAAGTAGTGACTCTTCAGACAGCTGAGATGGCCACGAGAGAGGCTAGCAGTGGCCAAGCAGTGACTCTTCAGACAGCTGAGATCTGAGAGAGGCTAGCAGTGGCCAAGTAGTGACTCCTCAGATGGCCACGAGAGAGGCTAGCAGTGGCCAAGCAGTGACTCTTCAGACAGCTGAGATGGCCACGAGAGAGGCTAGCAGTGGCCAAGTAGTGACCAGATGGCACGAGAGAGGCTAGCAGTTGACCCCTCAGATGGCCACGAGAGAGGCTAGCAGTGGCCAAGCAGTGACTCAGATGCTAGCAGTGGCCAGGCAGTGACCTCAGATGAGAGAGGCTAGCAGTGGCCAAGCAGTGACTCTTCAGACAGCTGAGATGGCCATGAGAGAGGCTAGCAGTGGCCAGCAGTGACCCTCAGATGGCACGAGAGAGGCTAGCAGTGGCCAAGCAGTGAGATGGCCACGAGAGAGGCTAGCAGTGGCCAAGCAGTGACCCCTCAGATGGCCACGAGAGAGGCTAGCAGTGGCCAAGCAGTGACACCTCAGATGGCCACGAGAGAGGCTAGCAGTGGCCAAGCAGTGACTCTTCAGACAGCTGAGATGGCCATGAGAGAGGCTAGCAGTGGCCAAGTAGTGACCCCTCAGATGGCCACGAGAGAGGCTAGCAGTGGCCAAGCAGTGACACCTCAGATGGCCATGAGGGAGGCTAGCAGTGGCCAAGCAGTGACCTCAGATGGCACGAGAGAGGCTAGCAGTGGCCAAGCAGTGACATAGATGGCCATGAGGGAGCTAGCAGTGGCCAAGCAGTGACAGATGAGATGGCCACGAGAGAGGCTAGCAGTGGCCAAGTAGTGACCCCTCAGATGGCACGAGAGCTAGCAGTGGGCAGTGACATGAGATGGGAGAGGCTAGCAGTGGCCAAGCAGTGACCTCAGATGGCCACGAGAGAGGCTAGCAGTGGAAGCAGTGACCCTCAGATGGCCACGAGAGAGGCTAGTGGCAAGTAGTGACCCCTCAGATGGCCACGAGAGAGGCTAGCAGTGGCCAAGCAGTGGATGGCCGAGAGAGGCTAGCAGTGGCCAAGTAGTGACCCCTCAGATGGCCACGAGAGAGGCTAGCAGTGGCCAAGCAGTGACCCCTCAGATGGCCACGAGAGATGCTAGCAGTGGCCAAGTTCAGATGGCCACGAGAGAGCAGTGGCCAAGCAGCTGGCCATGAGGGAGGCTAGAGCAGTGACACCTCAGATGGCCACGAGAGATGCTAGCAGTGGCCAAGCAGTGACAGACAGCAGTGACCCCTCAGATGGCCACGAGAGAGGCTAGCAGTGGCCAAGCAGTGACCCCTCAGATGGCCACGAGAGATGCTAGCAGTGGCCAAGCAGTTACACCCCAGATGGCCATGAGGGAGGCTAGAGGTGGCCAAGCAGTGACACCTCAGATGGCCACGAGAGATGCTAGCAGTGGCCAAGCAGTGACTCTTCAGACAGCAGAGATGGCCACGAGAGAGGCTAGCAATACCCAGAAGGTGATTCAACAAGCAGTAGCATCAGAGCTCGCTTTGGATGAAGCTCATTCAACGACTCCACTTTTACCGCAAGTGACCAACAGCCTACAAGCATCGATACACCAAACGCCGCATTTAGCCACGGAAGGAATGCGCAGTGTCCAGGTACTGGCAGAGCAAATGGCCGTAGAATCAGGTACCAGTACCAGTGTTCCAATGGAGACTTGGGAAACACCTCAGATGACAGTTAATTATATTAGAGCTCATGCAGTCATCCAGCAAGCAGCGACTACAGACCTAGGTGTAGAAGATTCGCATTCAGTATTTCCATTCACACCACAGGAGGGCAGTGCCATGCAAGCAGGTGTTCAACAGACCTCGCATATGGGCATGGAAACAACGAGGCATGGCCAGTCAGAAACTCTCCAGATTGCACCCGGGAGCCTGAGGGAGACCATTGCCCAGTCTGGGGTCCTGCACGCAGTGTCTTCAGAGGTAGACTTGGAAGAAGCACCTTCAGAGACTTCATCATTGATCCCGAAGGCCTTTAATGTCTTGTCTGTGCTTCGACAGACAGCAAGCGAGAATATAGAGGGAATGAGCGGTGCAGACGCAGTGCCTGGTCAGACATCGTATGTGACTATGGAAGCAGGGAGCAGGGCTGAGTCAGTGATGAAGGTGACAGGGACTGCAGAGTTAGATTTAGAAGAGTCACATTCATCAGCTTTACCTTCACTGCATATGGCCAGTAATATCCAAACTTCAAAACAAGTAACACCATATAAATTAGAAGTCAACAGTGCCTCGACAGTGCCTCATCAACCATCTGAGGTAGCTATGAAGGATAGCACCACATTGACTACAGAAGGATGGGAAACAGTAATTCCAATGACAGAAGAGAGAGTAAGCAATGTACAGACAATAACTCGTTTGCCGACTCAGATGGAAGGAGTTAACAATGACCAGGAAGAAACTTGCACTAGTTTTGCAGTAACTCAAGCAGTAGCTTCTGAAGTAGATATGGATGAATCACATAAAGTGGCTTCATTTTTGCCACATGCAAGTAGTAGTGTGCCTGTTGTGACTCGGCAGACCTCTCACCTTGCAATGGAAGGAACCAGATCTGCGCAGACACTGAAAGAATCACCAATAGAGACTTCTCAGTTGCCACAGGTGGTTACCAACGTCCAAGAAAGACCTTACAGGTCCATGGAAGCCCCTGACCGTACACAAACAGTGGCGCCGCTGTCATCGGTCTTTTTAGGATTGGAGAATCCACACGTGCCTAGCTACATCCAAGAAGTGGCACGTTGTATATCTCAAACCACAGAAAAAGCTAATAAAACAGAGGAACCTCAGGTGACACAGGCTGTATCATTTGGTGAGCATTATAACGCAGTGACTGTGAACCCCAGGGCATCACTGAAGCCACTTACATTCGTTGATGGTGAAGCCCACACACCTCTTGCAGCTTCAACACCCGTAAATACACAAACTTCTGTGGTGGTGGATAAGGAACAGTCTTGTCTTGAAGACAGTGCGTATGCCACAGCAACTCCAACAGACTTGGAAAAGTTCGCTAAGGAAACATCCACTCCCATACCAGAACAGAAAGTGTCTCCATCAAACGTCTCTCACGATACATTGGAAACGTCATATGGAATGGTCGGCCATCAGACTCCCCAAACAACATTTTTATCTGAAAGCGAGAAGAAATCGGTGGAAGATGACAGTTTATTTGCGGAAGCCAGCGAATTTTCATGTGATATCGATGGCTTTAAGGCAATTCTGACCAGTAATATTGAGGATGAAGAAAAAATTTACAAATTAAATACCGAAATGTTGGAGAGTAAACCAGAGCAGAAGCTTCGTGATGGGGGCTTGAAGTTGCCAGAAAGAAATTACAGAGAGGAATTTATTGTAACATCAGAAGAGGAATTTTTCTCAGCAGAAGATACAGCCTTAGCTTCAAGTTCTGATAGCGTAACATCTATGACCTCTCATATGTGTCACAGTGACAAAAATTTGAGTAGTTCACAGGTAGTACACCTTGATAACAGAAGGGAAATGAGAGATTTGGATATGCAGAAAGAAAAATCATTGACAGCCAGCGGAAGTAGTACCACCGAAAACTTGCCTTGTGTGACTGCCATTCCAGCCAAAGGTTCTGAAACCATCAAAAATGACAATTACCTCTATAAAAAGGGGCATGCTGGCAATATCATTAGAAGTTGTGCTAAAGATCCGAATGTAGTCGTCTCATCTTGCAGTGTTCCACGTGTAACATTACAGCAAGAAGTCTCGGAGGAAACTTACAAAGAAAAGGAGAAAGCTAAGCAGGCAGAGAGGGGTGAGGAAGCGGGACGAGAGAGCAGTAGGAGCAGGAGTGTAGACCGGGGCCTCAAGAGCGCTCTGCCAGGTAACATCGGTTTACCGCATGGCAACGAGGGCCAGCCCATTGCCAGCACGAACGTCATTGGTCAGAGCGCTTTGGCAGGCTTTGGCACGAGTACAAAGGGACCATACTCGAGTTCAGTTACTGGGGAATATTTAGAAAAGGAAGCTAATTTAGCAAAGCTGCAAGATAGAGACAGTACCGTGCGCACATCAACATCATCAGACAGTCAGCATATTCCTGTCAAGAGCGAAGTACAGGACCTAAGCAGGAGCACTAAGAATGATGGCAAAAGTGGAGGGAAGGTGCTTGGAAAAATTGCAAAAGGGTGCACTGAGAAACTTGAAAATGTTGTATTCCATGAAACATCAGAAACTAATTACAGTATAGCAAAGAATGCAAAAGTTACAGAAATAGCAAGTTTGCCCCATTTAGGAAAATTCATTGCTTCTGATACAGAGACCAAAACTACAAGGGAAGACAAAGCAATTCCATTTAAAGAGAACATTTCCATATCAAGTAATACTACAAAAGTTACTCAAAGAAAGGAAGTCAAAAAAATATTCCCTTTGAAAAGAAAAGCGCCCCACAGGTTGATTCAAGTCATGCAACTTCATCAAGTCCAGCTAAGGTGAATCAGCAGTTACAGAAGAGAAGTCCAGAAGGTCAACGTAAATTCATCCGGCAAGCCACGCACCCACCACATACTGTTGTGACTGGCTTCTCGAACACCATTATGCAGCCGCAAGAAGCCTGTGAGCAGATCGAGGACAAGGCGCTCGGAAGTCATGGTAAGGTGATATATAAAGGAGAGCAACAAAAGCCCGAGTTCACAGCAAATTACAGCTTGGCGAAATTTAAACGATCCCTCTATTCACGTAAACTGGCAGGTCAGGTCTTCAATCAGATGACCTACCCGGCATATGAGCCAGAAAGAGAGCAAGTTCAAGTTGAGGACCGTTCCATGCTGAAGAAAGAGGATAGTGCGAGAGCATTGCCAGCTGACATCATCCCCAATACCCAAGGAAAATTCGACAGCAAGCCAAAGAGTCATGGCGGTGGACAAGCATCTTTTCAAGCAAGAGTATCTGATGACAAGGAAATTGGGTCCAGATCTACTGGTTTATTAAAAAGTTTTGGCACGAGAAGTTCTGAAATTGTTTCAAATCAACAGGAGCAACATCAAACAAAGAATTATGGAAAGACATTGAATATGAATGTTAAAGAATCTAAGACAACAGAATTTGAGAGCACTGAAAAAGTTAAGGATAATGTCAAGAAGGATAGTAAATCGCAAGAACATTCACATGGAATCGAAGTTACAGTGTCCAATTTCTCTTCTACGGCATCATCAACCCCACATGAAGATAAGCAGACACCTGTGATTGCAAAGAAAGTGGACAACCCAAAACTGAAGCTTACTTCCGAAGCTTGGCGGGGACAATTCCTCCTGGAACAAGACCAGAGTGATGAATGGGGAGCTTCAGATGAGAGCATTACTTTCATTTTCATGAATCCAGATGACGAGACACCTTCGGATGACAATTTATTACAAGCAAATGTTACCCAGTCCAATGGTTCAAACTACCGCAGTTCCTCAGACTTATCTCATGTAGGTTTGAGTTTTAACACACCAACTGAATTAAAACAAACCCATTTCTTTGATCTGTACAAGGCAAAATGTGGCCGCCTTGTTCGCTCTACATCTTTAGATTCTGTGTACTGGAATTTAAGTAAAATCCAGGTGGCTAAGCAAAAAACGGAAATACAACGTACCAGCAGCCTAGAGGAAGTGGTGACACAAGAACTGGAAGATATACTGGCCAGAGGAAGGCGTTTCTCATCCGGTGAATCAGATGAAGATGACATAACTGAGGACGCAAGTACTGTGAGACAAAGCCGATGTCATATACCAGCGAAGACTTATAGTGAACAGACTGATTCAAGAGAAGTTCCCGAAGCTCCTCGCAGAAGAGCTGTGGTCACAGATGCAGATGATCAGGCCATTAATACTAGCAGTTCTGGTGACGATGATGTATTTGCCAAATCGCCCTCTCCGGTCCCAACATACGGCCAGGTTAATTGGTGTGACTTCAAGGGCCTAATCCTCGGGCGTCCAGTTAATCCCACAACAATCCGGGTTATGTCAGGCGAATCGAGCAAGTCCTCACCACAGCTTCATTGTCGCCAAACCCCAGAAAAACTAAACAAGAAATCTGTATCATGGACGGACCTGCAAGGTTGTGGAGCACTAGAAATTGATGAAATTCCAGAAATTCGTTCACAGGAATCTGCAAAGCTCATTTTGCCGCCAAAATCCATAATGAAAAAACCCAGTTTAGCTCCAATTGCCTCAACTCCCCCTCCTCAGACACCACCTTCACCCATATCACCTCAGTCTCCTTCGGACGAACATCCACTTGAAACCACACACGCACTGAGGACAATCGAGGGAGATGCAGTGAATTCATCGAGTGAAAGTGATGACATTCCACTGCCAAGGTCGAAGTTGAAAGAGATGTTTTCACTCCAGTTGCCGCAGCACATACGGGATCGCGTAAACAAAACAGGAGCAGAGGGTATAAAGAGCACAGAAGAGCCTGAATCAAATTCAAGAGAATTACAGCTCGCTTCAACAGAAGATCCAGATTATTCAAAAGTCCGTCAACAGTTCAGGCAAACAAGTCGACCACCTTCATTAGGCCTTTCAAAAAAATCCAGCAATTCTCCATCTCTGAATGATTCACAGTCATCTGGTGTGTCTCTATCATTTGGGAAATCGTTATCTACAGATGATAACTCCGTTTCAGGATTTTCACAGTATTCCGATCTGTTTACATCATCAAATATTTCTTTGGCGTCAGGATTCTCCCCTTCAGGCCCAACGCCATCTGGCATGTCATCAGCTGGGGTTTCTTCCTGTGTTGTATCATCACAACAAATTTCTTCCGTATCAACTGCAGTTTCGACATCTGAAGGACCTCTCTCAAGAGGTATCTTACGATCTTTGGACAGCAATCTAGATGGACAAGATCCAAATAGTCTGACAAATTCACCTGTAACGAGAATGATGTCAAAGAGGCATTTTGGCTCTTCATATTGCAGTTCTCCGTCAGATGACACTGCGTCCGTGATTTCAACAAGCCCCATTAACATCATGTCAGCACCAACGACACCGGCAACAGAAACTGCACCGTCAGTCATGTCCTCACGCAAGAACCAACAATTATCGCGATGCAGAAGTGAGGGAGATATTGCACTGCCCAATGCAGAAGGCTTTTCTCACACCTGGGTAGCTCTTTCACAGGTCATGAAGGAGGCAGGAACAATATTGAAAACTTTATCTGAAACATCTTTGGTATTACACCATCAGATTGCAAATCCCAATCAGAGAGTTGCTCTTGCTCCAGTAGCTGAAGAAGCAAATGGCACCACCAGCCCAGCAGGAATGCCTGAAAGTAAGAAGGTTAATTCTGTTGCAGTGCAAACTGATCAACACCAGCCAAGCAATGTGAAAATGAGATCAATTGTGGCCCAGACTAGTTTTGAATCCTCAAGTGATGTCGAGAATTTAGATGCTGGAGGAAGGAAACCATCTCAGAGCTACCGTAGCTATACCAGAAGTGCCAGACGTTTTGATTTGTCTAATAGTCCTACATCGTCACTTGGTTCAGGACTAAGAGGAAAAACTTTCTCCCAAGAACTTAACAACCTGCGACATGAGAGAGAACGCATCAATCGCATTCTCGGCCACTATGATAGTTCATCACTACATTATTCTCGAAGTGGAAGCAGATTCAGTAACAAAAGTTCATCATCAGAATTTGATTCTCCAGTGTCCAGTTTAAGGGAAAGCCTTCAAAATTTACCTCACACAACCTTAGATCGAGATCTTGAAAGTGACGGAAGTGTTGGAAATTACAGGCACCGTTTGAGCGCTACCAGTCAGAAATACATCTCTCTGCATCAGCGCCGTTTGGAGGAATCGTGTCGGCAACTGGAGGAAAGACTTAAACTCAGTGCGCGGAAACGGCATTTACGGTCGCAGATTCTTGATAATGGGCACAGTCATCATCACAGACACGCCGCTAAAGTTGCATATCATTCTTCACTAGACTTCGCTAAGACACCATTTTGCGAAAGATTAGAAAGTCCAAATACAACCCCTTATTTGTCAACGACATCCTTGCCTACCGTTGGACCACACAGCCCTGGGCACAGTCAAGAACTTTCACCCTGTTGCTGTGTATCCCCTATTCACCAGCCTCAACACAACCACTGTCGGCCATCTGCCCATACCTGCTCAACACACAGTCACTGGTCCTCTTGCCATTCAACTGCAGCTACAGATTCAGCATACACTCCACACTATATGACTTCCAAAATACGTACGTCAACACAAAAGTGCAAAGAACAGTTACTTTATCTCCGAAGACATCTGGTAGGTGCCTCTGGAATAGCAAGCTCATCCAGTTCCCTGGCGGACAGCCCTCCTGGCCGTAATAGATACCGATTTGGGAATCTCAATAACAATTTTGATGGACCCTATCAAAGAGGACATGCTGCCTCACTTTCTTCTCTCCCTGGGGTTGGTGCAACATCTGCAGCTTGGAAACGACGCGTTGGTGGATCAGCGTTGTCAGTAGCCAGTGAAACTGAAGCTTACAGAAGAAGGTCTCGTTACCGTCAAGATTCAGACTCAGATTCTGGGGCTGGGTGGTCGTGCAGTGGAACAAGTTTGCGTCATAGTTATCAGTGATACAGCATTAGCATCAAAAAGAAGATATCTCGTGACCAAGAGAAAAAATAAGAAAATATATTCAGTAAACTCACCGAGGCAGCCACATTTCTTTAATCAATGTACAAGTTTAGCCAGAGCCAAACTATCCAGTTGTGCCATATTGTGAATCTAGTCGTTCACCTATTTAGTTTAATGAGTTAATCTGTACAGAAACCTGTAAATTATCAAAAGTATGATTGAATTTGGTGTGTAAGGACCAAAATGCTAGCATTACTTATGTTTTACTTTGTAAATTTTTTTTATATAGAATGTTTAGTGCTTAATATGTGCCTGTTCTTGTCAAGTCTTCCAAGTGGAATACAGAATAATTATATGCAATATGCTTAGAAAGTTGCTAGTGAAGTGGGATGGAGATTTAAAGTGTGTACCTGTAATAAAGTATGATTGATTATGTTATTTAATTAAACCTTAAAAAAAGAAAAAATATATTATACAATCAGCTCATTAATTTATTACAAAGCAAGTTATGTTGTTCTTAAGATTTTCTGTCAAATGCATTTTTACACTTACAATATTAAAAAAAATATATTGGTATCATGTTTATTTGTAGTCAGATAAAATAATGGACTTGTATATAGTTTTGTTTATAAGTGTAGTTGCCTTTTCCCAATTTATTAAAGTATTAAGTCTTCAGGTATACATACAGGCTTTTTTCATACTACCAGTTTAATGAATCTAATTTTAGAATGATATAATATATAAAGTGAAAGGTTAAAGAACAGTTACATTGAAATCCTTTTACATAGTACATTAGAAACATGGAGGGATGAGGAGACAACAACAAAAATAATTTCACAAAATCTTTCTATATTGGTATTTATACAAGTTTAATTTATTTTTGATAGAAACTATACAATGTAAAGTGGATATTAAAAGCCAAAAATATTTTTGTTTGTATATATTTATGATAAGTTGGCATGTCAGCGCATTTACAACCACTGGATAAATTTGAAGCTAAGCACAAGTGGCAGTGCTCACACGCACTTGTTTTCACAACACTGCATACATGTGCCATCATCTTCCCTAATAATTCCAACAACAGTTGGACTCTTAACAAAAATTTAAAACATTGCTAAATAAAATATTGATCTCTGTTATTGTTTCATGACAAAGTACACTTTTCCTTTCAAATTACAGCCAACATTAAGTGTACGCCTATTTGAAAACCTTTAACAAAACTGAAAAATATGGACAACCATTTTAGATAAAAGACAATGGAATGTTCACATTTTTTTTGGATAGAATCTATAATACTATCACAAACTAAACATCACAGTTCCTAAAGAAATGATAACAAAACATAATCAGAAGTATAGTTCATGTTCTTTGGCATTGGTTTCACCATCAAATGCTTGCAGGACAGATGAGCAACTGACTTATAAGAGATCTTTGAAGATAAAAGTAATGAAATCCTTGAAGTTTGTAACAAAATGCAATAAAACAGTATTTATTTTAACGGTATAATTTTTTTTCTGATCTATTCATATCCAATGTTACTTATCCCGAACTCATCTGCAAGCAAGTGAATGTGAATTTGGATCATGAGGTATAAATACTTCAATAAATATATTTCCTATTTACAGACTTTTTAACCAGTCATGTCCTCAAAAAAAAAATCATATCTACATACTGTAGTTCCCATACTGGTCCTTTTAAGCTTAAATTTTAGCAAAGACACTCATAAAAATGTTATATAGTTGTGATAACCTCAGGGTTTGGCACTATGACATGAGAGGAACTACTTTTCAACATGTACCAAGCAATCTCTGATTCTTCCTTTGGTAAAGTACATGTCCATGTTTATATACAGTGATCCTATGAATACATAAAGCCCTATATGTAAAAAATAATGAAATAATGTCAATAAGTTAAAAGCATTTGTAATACATCATCTTTAATTTTACAGTGTAGCTTCTTCTCATGTCAGCAAACCCTGATTTTACCACATGTCATTATTGGACAAGCAAGAGCAGCCTTGGAATATTTTATGCTTGAGGGTGACTTGACGTATGACAATAAATTACACTGAATCAATGGCGAGCTTTCATTGCAGTGCAGCAAGAAGTGTTGATCACAAGCAGTTCATATGATTATAAGTTTATTTATTGGTCATGCTTTGATGGATAGACTCCAAGTTCTTTGACTATTCTGTAAAGGAACAGCTTTATTATTCTGGAGAATTACTATTGTAAGTTGTGCTTCCATTCCCTGTAAAGCTGCTCAAAAATTATGAAAACTGCTTACACCAGTTATAATATGGCATATTCTACTTCATATAGTTTATTGTCTACAACTTCTACATCAGAAGCTTACAACACATTGTTAGCAGCTAAATGTCTGCTATCTATAGTAATGTTGCTATGTAGGTTCAGAACCAGTATAATACACTTATATTCAACAGTTGCTTGCAGAACCAATATACATTGCAATAAGGTTTAAGCATCTATAACAGATTTTTGTATATTCCATAAGAATGTTACAGTAAGAATCCCCACAATAGATCTACCACTCAACTATTAACTTTTTCTTAGCCAATAAGTGTAAACAATGACTGCTTTCAATTTTCAGCATGAATGAACACAGAGCAGATATGAAGAGTATCACAAAGTTAGGAGACCGGAAGGCTGCTCTTATAACAATTAGGTTAAGTGATACACAATTCATATGTAACCCAAGCTCATTCCATGTTTTACTTTGTGGCACTAAAAGTTCCCCAAAGGCATGAATATGTTTAGTCACAGAAGAAGCTATGTCCTTCATTAATCTTTTTATCTTGTATATTTTTCTGAATCACAACTGAATCAGTAGTTTATAAACTGCACCTTTTGAGTACGTTATACAACTTTTGAAGTGCCTCTGACAGTTAGAGCACAGTCTTAAAGGAAGTCGTACATCTGGTAAAGCATTACTTTAGGTGGTTTGAAAGCAGCAAGCTTAAAGTCAGTTGGGTTATGATATATATATAAAAATAGGTAACAGATTCACTGAACCTAGGAAGTCCATGTTGATTATGGTATGAGTTTGGATCAGTGAAAGGTGATAGTTGTAGCTGGCATTGTGTCATAGCAAGTTGGTTTCATGTCAAGTGATGATCATGATTGAGTAGGATGTCGGTTAAGAAGTGCCGGTGGCTGGCTGGCTGCTCTGGGCTGGCGATGCTCTGGTGCTGATGTGCTTCGTCCTCGACCCATACAATCACCTTCACCCTCAGAACTGTTGAGGTGAATGAAAAAGTATTATTGGAAATTCTTTTAACTTAAAAACAACAACAAACAAGAAAAATAACTCTCACATCACAGTGATGTTTCATAATTATATCCCTAAATATTTACAAACATATAGACATAAGAAAATACAATCTCATTTGTCATAAGCCATATTGTGTATTTGTTAATAATTTTATAGTGACCATCATTTAAAGTTTGATGAATGTACCCAGACTATTTACTTCCAGAAATTTTGGGTCTAATTAAACCAATGCACATGACAAATACTTACAACGTGTACCTGCTAGCATGGAAAAGGAATATGCAAGATATATGTTAGAGAAATTTTAGT